AATTTATGAGTTTGGAAATTGAGCCCACATTCCACTGATGCATAGTCACATCTTGCACCATAAATAAAAAATAATTTACATTATTTAAAGATAATTACTTCTTAAAATTATAAATTTAAATTATACAACATATAATACTTATATATAAAAACAGTATATGGTCTTCTAAAAACACCGAATAAATAAACGAAATATTTTTTCAGTGAGTGCAAGTTGCATAACTATCAAAAATAATAATAATAATAAAACTTAGAAATAAAGCATATTAATATTAACTTTTAAAATAAATTAAAATTTTAATGTTAAATTATTTTATTTTATTTAATTAAAATTTAATTTAAAATTTAAAAATTTATCTTATTAACTATTAATATTTAAATTTAAAAATAAATTATATTAAAATATGTAATTGATTTTTAAATTTAAATATTAATATTTAATGGAGAGATATTTTAATTTTAATTTTTTAAAATTAAATTTAATACACACTAATTTTATAAAATTTTAATTATTAAAATATCTTTAATATAAAAATTATTAAAAATATTCGTATAATGAAAAAAATTCATTCTCAATAAAAAAATAATTTTTTAAAACGGCGGCATCGGTACAAATAAAGGAAAAATGTTCTTTTTTTCTTTGTGGTAAAATAATATTTGTATTAAAAAATTATATAAAAACCAACAATAACAACAAAAACAACTTTAAGCACAGAACTACTTAGTGAACTAAACATAGCAACCGTAAAACATTTAACTGCAAGTTAATTTTTTTATTTAATTGGGGCTTTATTTTAAAGTTTTGTATAATTTGAAATTATAAATTTTATACAAATTTAGATCTTCATTTTATACTTTTGTCAAATTAATTTGATGTGAATTGTATAATTATAATTATTAATAAAAAAAATACTTTAGATGTGAGCTCTTTTAACTTTAAATTTAATTGTCAACTTGTTGCTGTGTAACTTAGTGCAAAACAACCTTCTCGTATACTTATTTGAATTTTCTAACAAAGTTTTTTAATATTATTAGTAACTTTATGTTTGATATAAAAATGTTGTTAAAAACGTTTATAAA